ATTCTTATGGGGTTTTGCCTATGGCAAAAGTTTGCCATACATGTATGGCAAAAATTTGCCATAGGAATATCCTATGGCATTGTTTATGGCAAACCTATGGCAAATTTTCCTAAGGGTTCGTTTTCTATCCTTATAAAATCATATTTTTGCAAGACATTATCATTTCTGTAAGACTTTATCATTTGTTTTATGATACAAAATAATATTTGTAGAAAACCCATTATGATTTTGAGTTACTTTTATAAAGTACAAAAATTTTGAAAATTGCTTAAAACTTGATAAATCCTCAAGATATTTTTAATATTCAAGATAGTTTTCAAGATGTTATTTTTACTATAAAGACTTTTTTTTAATTAGTTGCTAAATACAAAATTTTTAAAAAAATCAAATTTTTTCCGCTCATACTCAGTATAAAAGAACTGCATTAGTTACTTAAAATTTGCGCAATTTATAACGAAATTTTCTCACACTTTAAGGCAATGATTTTCGAACTAATTTTATATTCCTCTAAAAAATTACATTGCTTTAAATTGCTTAATTTTATTGAATGTTTTTAAAGTTATAGCATAAAACATAGACAAAAAAGCTAGTTTTTTCTAGAAATATCCCCAGTTAGGCTAGGGTAACGAAATTTTGCGCGATTATTATACACAATAGCTAAAATAGCTACTACAAGTTACAAATTTATTTCCACAATTTTTGGCATAGGGTGCTCAAAAATACCATTTTCTGTTCGTAATTTCTTGTCGGTCTCTCTACCTCTAAAAGCCTTAAACGTCATTGATAAGTATGATCTAAACACCTGTGAAGTTAAAAAAGAATTCTTTAAGTGTTTCTATGAAAAAAATGTATTAGTATAGAAATGTCTCCATGAATAGTTTAATATGAATTCGAATGAAAAAATTAGCATTAACGTTACTTTAATATTATTTTTACCATAAACTTGGTGCAAGAGCATTGGTCCACCCCTCTATAATATAACGCACAATTACCCCATTTGCGAGGGAATTGATAAATTAGAGAAATACTACGTAAATTTTTCTAGATTTCCACAAACACAAAATCTAAGGATACTACGCTTGATACACCTGATGTATCAATGATAAACGATGGAATTACAGTTGATAGAAATATTTTTAAGGAAATTATAGAAAAACTGAAGTTTTTAGGAATAAATTCAGAATAAATCCTACAAAATTATTTTCAAAAGTTTTGGCAGGCGACTTCAAATAGCCCTGCAATGTCTATTAACGGCTAAATAGAAATAAATGAAAGCCTTTTAGTTATCCTGCGAATAAAGCGATTTCAATTCATTTTTGAATAATGCATACTTTTTTTTTAGCATAAAATGTAATTTATTTTATTGTTATATTACTCATTCGGACTCAAAGACATCTTAAGATTAGTTTAAGCTAAAATAACAAGAAAAAAGACATTTATTCAGCTACCACTACTATTTAAAAAATCAATATATAAAGAAGGTATTATGTAAAGGCCACCCTTAATTTGTATTGTATTCTTTTTATCAAAAATAAAAAAGTAGTTATATATATANAGTAGAAAATAAAAACACTATTGAAAGCTGACAAAAATTTTAGGTTATAAACAAGAAGACAGGTTTGATTCCAGCATGAAACAGAGACGATTATTAGAAAGAATCCAGATAAATCGACTTTAATGTTAATTACTGTGAGATTTCAATAGCGTTTACTTCTCGGTCAAATATTAATTGCGACATTTCATAAGAATTCCAAAAATGCACAGAAAAACCTTTAGAATATCTTTTATTATCCAAACACTATTGGTGTCAGGCATTTTTATTCAAATTTTAACATATAAAATGAAGTAATCGATATCGATTAAAATAAAAAAGTAAAAATTTCTGAATTTTTTTTCAAACAAATGTATTTTTCTCAAACTTTAGCTAAAACACGTGAAGGAACTTTTTGCTGTATAATAAATAAAATGTTTGGAATATTGATCAGTCTATGACTACAAAGTTCACAAAGATAGTAAAAAAATTCATTAAAAGAAGCCGGGAATAAAAGCATTAAAATAGATATGTCATTACTAGCTTATGATGTAACATGATGAAATGGGTAAATTATTTTTATTTACATATGTCATTTATAAGCATGAAATCCTATACAGTTTTTATGTTCGCTTTAAAATTGATCTTTCATGTTATATAAAATCATTTGTCTTATAAGAGTCCTTGGTCAAATTATTAGACGCACTTTAAGATTCGATGTAAAATCTTAATTATCACATCATACTGTACAACTTTATTATTTTTACGCGACTGAAACCGGTTTGCACTTGTTTACTTTCGTGTATCTAGTGGTTAACTTATTAATGCAATATGTTAAAAATAACTGCATATGAAAAGTATATAAAAAAATATCCCGAATGAAAACATATTACATGTATGTTTAAATATAAAAGCATTACATATAAACTCGTGCAAAACATGTCATTATTAAAACGCTAATAATTTGGTCTAATTATTATAATATACTTATATAATACCTGATGTAAGAAATATTCCATATTTATATAATATCTCGTCTAATTTATCCAATCGTCGAATTTATATGATATATCCAATTAATACACGAACGTAAACAAGTGAAACCAATTTCAGTCGCATAAAAACTATAAAGCTGCATAGTATCATCTGATAATTAAAATTTTAAGTAGAATCTTACAGTGCATTTAATAATTTCGCCAGGGTCTGTAAGTAGTACTTTGTAGGTGGGTACTTCATTTACGTCGCACAAGAACTATTGGCGACCTTTTTATCATGGAGAATCACTTCAAAATTATAGTACTTTGATTTTTCTTTCATTATTTTGTGATCCAGTATAAGGTGGGGAACTGTAGCTAAGTAGAAATGTCGAAAAAATATAAACAGCGAAATAATCACTCTATAGTAAAAAATTAACCAAAAGCTTATGGAAACATCTTCCTAAAATGATATAGAATCGAATGTGTGTTTAAATTGTTAAACAAAATCAAACAAAATTTATATTTTAAGACATGCTTCTAGAGATAGTTCAAATAAATATATTTTTTAGCTCTTCCTGCTTTTTTCCGAAACAGTAGCCCATAAAACATTACTTTAGTCTACCTTATTAGTTTATAAATAAATATTTTTATAATTGCCTTAAAATGATGAACTACAACTGCATTTAAAATTCGAAGCGCAAGTTTTTGTTTTAATCAAAGCATGTTCACAAGACATTTTTATATTTTAAATTATGTAATTCGGGAAAATGTATCGATTACACTAAAGAAATAATTACTAATTCTTTAATCTTCGTGATTTTAGAAGTGTAAAAATACTATTTTTGAAATAATTTAGGTAAAGTCATTTTTCTTTTATTTAATTTTATTTATATTAAGAGCCACATGAACTGCATTTAATTTAGTATAATTGAATTTTTTGTATTTTGCTTAAAGTTTCGTGCTTTTTTAAATCTGTTTAAAACTATGGTTAAAGTTTCACGCTTTTTTAAATCTGTTTATAACTATGGGCCTTACGATACAACAAAATTAAAGATGGAAATTAATATAAAAATGTTTAACCTTGCTTCAAATCAATATATTGAAGTAGTTAGTATTTGCTTGACGAAATTAAGGACTAACATGACCCTAAATTGCTTTAAAATTTAGTGTATGGAATTACTACAGTTAAACTATACAATAACGCGACAAATTATTATTAGAGCAAAAAATACATTGTTTCGATTTTCTAATTTTTCAGATTGTTAATATTCTTTAAGCACTTTTATCTCAAGCTACAATTTTTTTTTTACAAAATTAAACTTCTTATAATAATTTTGGTAGGTCAATTTGCATAACCATAATGTAGTATTAGGGACCATCTCAAAAAGTGAAAAAAGCATGGAAGATGTTCTTACTTTGAAATGAAATTACATTTTATCTATTTCCTCTTGAGAAATACTTATACTCCGTATTGTTATAGAATTCATCTCGTTCCTTATAAGGGACCTCGTTGCTGCTCTAGTTTTATGCATTCGATTTAACTTGCATAACATAACATCAATCATTGAAGATCGAAAATTTTTCGAAAGTATAGCGTACAAAAATGGATTAAGCCCAGAGTTCATGTACAAAATTAAAGTAGTAATAATAGTTAATAAAACAGATGTATTACTCGCTCCATCGTATGTTGTTGACCAATTCTGCCATAATTTTCTAGCGTGGAAAGGAAGATGACAAAAAGCAAATGTAAAAACAATGGCCACGAGTAATCGAATCACTTTTCGACGCGATTTTAAAACATGATTTTTAGGTGCGCGGCAAGTTGTTTCCGAACATCGCTTAACAGTCATTGTATAATGTTCATCGTCTCTATGAGAATTGTTAGATTCTTCTACCGGTGGAGCAGAAGCACGAGTTGTAAGGGTTGCTGTAAATGTAAGATGCTTTGATACAAGATCACTTCTCCAAAGTCGAAGACATATAACGGAATACAGGATGCTAATTACAAGCAATGGGACGATGAAACACACAATGAAATTAACTAAATCATAGGTTTTAGAGTCATAAAAAGAACGTTTCAAAATACAAATAGTTTCCATTTCTCCATGAACTGATGGAACTTGAACTGTGCCATACATAACCAGTCTAGGACTACAATATGCCGCACTCACAAGCCATACAGTGACGCTAACGATTCTTAAACGACGCAATGTCATAACCTAAAAAAAAAAGAGTGCAATACATATGAATGAATACAAGAAAACTATTACAAATTATTAGTTAATATTTAATAAAGAATTCACGAAACTAATAAGCAAATATGCTCAAGTTTCTTTCTCCAAACGATTTAATTTACCATCAGCATATATGGCAGTACTTTTACTTTCGTTACTTGTACAGCCGGTACAGGTAAAAAGTCCGTACTTTTACTTGTACTTCGTTGCTTTTTAAATTTAGTACTTTTACTTGTACTTTCGCTACTTTTTTGGGAAAAAGTACAAGTATTTGTAACGGAAATGTCGAATAAAATCGTCAGTTTTTTCTAAAACTCGGTAAGCTTTCTTAAAAAATCCAATCGATATCCAATCGTAAAGAAATTATGTGTGAAATATAATACTGCAGTACCTTCTAGTGCTCCCGTGGAGTGCTTATTCAGCGTGGCTAAGCACGTTCTGAGAAATTCTCGCAGCAGACTCAGACTTTCGAAATGCAATTATTTTGTAAAATGAATAAAAATATTAATTAGCAAGTTATTTTCATTCATTTTCGAGTTTTATGCATTTATTTGATAAATTTTAAATAAAAAATTTTGGATTTTGTTATTACGTTTTATAATTTTCATTTAGAACTCACTAATAATAAATTTTTGTTTTAATACATTTTTTACTAAATACATTTTTACCTAGTACATTTTTTACTAAAATTATGTTTATGCCTGATCTTGTGAAACAACGCCCAGTCAAATCTCTAAGAACTTCAGAACTATTTGTGATATTGAAAACTATTATAATTACTATTTTAACTCTTGAAAACTCGAAGGTATTAATTTAGCCGCCGATACTAAAATTCGTTTACAAATTTTAATTATTCCGTTAGGCAGAAATGTTCGGAAAATGATTTTATCGCATGACTTCAGCATTAGCCATTGTTACAAATAGAACTGTAGACTGTTCTGTTTCAACTTATATTGCACATCCAATTATTTTTTACTAGCTCAAAGATCACAAAGTTATCTGAAACCCCGTGTTTGCTTTGTTTATGTTTGTGCTTTTAAAACGCGTTTCTATAAAGTATAACAATTTTAAATCAATGGTAATTCAAATAAATAAAAATAATAAACTAAAAATTAAAATCAATAGATAAAATTTCTTTTTCGTGCAAATCCATAGAAAGTTTGATATTAAAATTGTATTTGATTTTAAAATTATATTATACGATTATATTATATTATACGATTATATAATATTATAATATTCTTCCGAATTTGAAAATAAATTAATGTCTATAACTTTCAAAATTAAAAATAATTAAATAAATAACAACAATTTTGCAAAAACATTAAAGAACATAAGAATAAAATTTTTATTCAAAAATTATTCAATAAAATTTTAGGTTACTTTGAATTTTCGATTTACGAGAAATGTACTTTTAAATCGTTACTTTTTTTGTTTAGTACTTGTACTTTTACTTGTACATTTTACTCATTACTTTTTAAAAAAATACTTGGTACTTTTACTCATTACTTTTTAAAAGAAACGTTGCCATACAAGTTTATGACAATCAGTTAATATTTTACAAAGAATTCACGAAACTAATAAATAATTATGTTCAAGTTTCTTTTTCCAAGCGATTTAATTTACCATTAGTTAATATTTTATAAAGAATTCACGAAACTAATAAAGAACTATGTTCAAGTTTCTTTCTCCAAACGATTTTAAATTTACCATTTAATTAAAGATTGATCAGACTTTTCGTTTGCTTAGTTTTATTTATATTAAGAGCCGCATATTTGTAAACTGGATTTATTTTAGTATAATTTAATTTTTTTTCATTTTATTTAAAGTTTCATTCCTTTTTAAATTTGTTTAAAACTGTGGGCTTTATTGTACAACAAAATTAAAGATGGAAATGTTGAACATTGATCCAAACCAATATATTGAAGTTAGTATCTCCGAGGAAATACATTCATATTTATTTAAGTGAAAATTATGTTATTTCAAAATGATATTGATCAACAAAAAAAATACAATACATATGAAAGAATACAAAAAAAAAATAGTTACAAATTTTGAGCAAATATTTTATAAAGAATTCTAATGGAAAACTAATGAAACAATTAAGTTCAATTTTTTTCTCCAAACAATTTGAAATTTACTATTTAATTAAAGATAAGTATTTTTAAAAATTCGAATGTCTAGCAAGAGACAAGAAATAACTAAAACGTATGAAGCCTGAAATTTTTTCTCTTTTTTAATACAATTTCTTACAATTTTTTAAATATGATTTTAGAACTTATTTTTTCCTAATTAATCTTAACAAATTTCGTTTCTTATGTCTTACTTTACTTTTTTGAAACAAATTATCAAACAGTATTACAGCTATACGAATGAATTATTCATTTGTTTTGGAATAAAGTTTTCGTATTTTCAAAAGATTAACAGAAGAAAGTAAAAAGAAAGAAAAATCTGTTTCTTAATAATGCATCTAAACATATTAACCATCAAATAATTGTAATTTCATATTGTAATTTTTTTTTCATTCCTTCATGTTCTTTTTTGCTTTTTTCAATAGAAAATTGTATAGTTAATGTAAGATACACTAACAAATTATAGTAATCTTATTTATATTAATAACTATATAGTAGAGCCGGGATAACCTGGTCGGTAGGGAGCTGGGCTCATGTCCGACAGTTCGAGGGTTCGAACCCCTCCGGCCGAAGACTCCCCGTGTAGTAAAGTGACTGATGCACGTTAAATCTGTCGAGTCGCAAAAGTCCTCCATGAGCCCATAACAAATCACTACCTCTGGGGGTACTGGATGGAGATTGTGAATGGACGTATGAATGGGTTCGCCCTATAAACGGGTGTGACGTATGGTGTGGCAGATGTCGAATTCTTTTCCATAGATGGCGCCACTGGAAAACAAGAACAATCGCACCCAATCTGCCTAAACAGGCATTCGTCAACAACAACAACTATATAGTATCGAAATCTTATTTATATTATTTACTATATAGAATGAAATTTATTTTTTACTGAATAGTAATTTATTTGTTTATGATTTACCTTTTTTTGCCAAAAAAAAAAATAGAATTAATCCAACAAAGAAGCAAATTTTTTCACTAAATATGTTTAAAGTATTAAAAAATAAAATATAATAGCTGCTCTGTAAGAAATTAAGAAAATTTGCAGACTTGGTCGATTATCTCTAGAACAACTGAACCGATTTTAGTGAAATTTGATAGATGCATACAGTCCATGACCAAATTATTAATAGCACTATAAGATTCTATATAAAATTTTAACTATCAGGTGATATTATACAGCTTTATTGCTTTTACGCGACTGCAACCGGTTTGCCCTTGTTTACGATCGTGTATCAATTAGTTAAATAAGACGATAGATAATATAAATTCCACTATAGGATAAGTTGGACGATATATTATATAAATATAGAATATTAATTACATCAGGTATTATATTATTATATTATGATAATTAGACCAAATTATTCGACGCACTAAAGGATTCTATGTAAAATTTAAATTTTCAGGTGATATTATACAGCTTTATTGCTTTAACGCAACTGCAAGCGGTTTTCCCTTGTTTACGTTCGTGTATCAATTGGTTAAATAAGACGATAGATAATATAAATTAGACTATAGGATAAGTTAGACGATATATTATATAAATATAGAATATTAATTACATCAGGTATTATATTATTATATTTCAATAATTAGACCAAATTATTCGACGCACTGTAATGTTTTAATAATTACATGTTTTGCACGAGTTCATATGCAATACTTTTATATTTAAACACACATGTAATAGGTTTGTTATTAGGAGATTTTTTATATATGTCCTATTTGCATTAATATATATTATTTTTTTAACGTATTACATTGCAATGTTAACTAATTGATACACGAACATAAACATGTGCGATCCCGTTTCAGTCGCGTAAAAACAATAATGCTGTTTAGTATCACCTGATAATTAAGATTTCGCATAGTATCTTATAGTGTGTCTAATAATATGGCCTGGTACTTTACAAAACAAATAACCATTCAACAATTGTAATAGACACGTATGATGGAGCGATGCACGTTGGAGTTGGAATGTATGAAATTACCACAGGACAATTCGAACCACAGGAAATGATAAACTGCCTTATGTCAAGTATGAAATCAAGCTGCAAGACCTGTATATCTGTAAGAGGGGACCATACCCCCCTATTAACCCATTTTCTGTTCATTCTGCAGCAACTGTTTCATACCTTCCGACTCCAACCAGTGTTGTAATACGCACAATCATGCGTGCGTATTTCATTTGTTGAATGGTTATTTGTTTTGTATTATATCAATGTATGTACAGTCCGCAAAAAAAAAAAAA